ACTACGCGCCGTCAAGTATCTGGAATCGAAAAAGGTGCGGGGTTTGCCGATATGACAGTTCGCCCGGAAATAAGTTGCAATATTATGCATTAAAATGCCTATTAATTACACTGAGTTTCAAATTAAAAAAAATGAATTATACACTTCAATTTTTGCTCTTTATTTATTCATACACATGACGTTAATGACACACACACACATATGGGTACACGTATGTACTTTTTTCTTATTACGTACTGCATTTTAGGTGCGGTAACTAACAAATATTAGTAAAAACATTATGAAATAAATGTCCTGTGTACAGGTTGCTTTATTTAATTACCAATAATGCGAGTTTAAACGACGAAACAATTATAGTAATCTATTTGGACACATTCAAATATAGAATATATAGTTGAAAGTATAAATTATACATACAAAATGGCCAATATTTAAAACTGGAAAATATTTAACTTTTCCTTGTATGTTGGGAAGAAACATCTCTCTTTAAACGCCAGAAGTAATCTCCTAAAATAGCTGCGTCTCAATGACCAAGAAATCGTTCTTCTAGCCTTTTTACATCCTGGTCGAACTGCTCTCTTTATTCATCACTCACAGCTTAAAAGTTTGGAGAGAAATGAGAATTAACGAAATAAAATTTTAATGATAACCATCGTTTTATATGCATTTCACAAATTGTTCCCCTAAAATTCCACGTTTTCGGCTCTGCGATTACTTTATCTTAAATCACGTCGTTAAACTATGTTCATCCGCATAGTTCTTTGCCATTTACATTTTTCATTGAAAGGTGTATTTGTGAAACGATATAATTCCCTTTCTTTAACTTTGCATATAAATTAAAAAAGTAGATTTTAAATACAAAAATACTTCGCCATTTTTATGCATTGTCTTCCCAACTTCTTCATTAAGCCATTTTTTGTGTGCAGGGGAGGTAAAATCGCATCAGTTTCTCTTTTATTTTGAGGCAAAGGAGTGAACAATGACACAATAGGTTATGGGTGGCGTCGTGTCTTTATTTCAGTACATTCCATTTTTTTTGTTATTTAAGGTCGCATCAACTTGTAGGTCATTAGCGACCACTATTGCGTGTAACAGTATGGTAACAGTGAAGACGACATCGTATTGGTGATAATAGGGGGTGAAAGGACGAACACAATACAATCATTCCCCAGAGCGGGACTTGAACCCGCGATCCGTCGGCCTGAGATCGCTACGGCACTACGGCACTTAGTGACCTCGGCCATCCGGACAGGCAGTACATTGTACACACACTATTTATAGAAAATGATTCTGTGGAATTTGCCTTCAAACATTTTCTTGTGAAGAACATTAACATTAGAAAATGCGAATAATATGACGAGAGTATGTAATGGATTTTCTTAAATTAGTGTTTACTTATATTACAAAACAATCCTGACAGGTAGCCCCTTTTCATCATGTGTTTATTGTTACTTCTTCAGCAATTATTCATTCACTTTTCTCTCTCTTTCATCCCAATTTTATTTCCTCTCACAATAGGATAACATTCTGATCCAAACATTGTACAATATTCTACACAGTTGATACAGCAAACTGGTAACATCATTGTCAGTTTAATCACTTGAATCTTTAACAATACACAGCTGACATTTGGATACAAATAGTTACATTTTGGTCAACAAAAAATGAATTATTGACCAAATATAATTGGCAGGGTAAAAAACAACTAACAAGAAAAAGAAAAGAAATACTGTCGGAAACTGTATTCTTCATTTATTCAGTTTTTCATAAGTCAATCTTAGAATTGTAAGAATTACAAAAACGAATGTGATAATTAAACTCTTACAAACTATACCTATAATTTCAGGGAAGTATAAATTATGTTCTAAACATGGAAGTATTTTACTCATGTTATTGCAGAAAAGGATAAACAACATTGATGAATACGTTTTCTTCACTGCCACACTGGCTCTCATTAATGCTGCAGGACTGCACAGGCTGCAACTTCAGTACAATGTCTTAATCAGTTCATTGTCAATACTTACATTTATTACTGCAATGACAATAAGAAATTAATTTATTGGACTGATTGAAGTTAGTTGTGGAGAATGGTCTATAACACAAAGAAGTGAGGTAAATGTATAAAACACTCTTATTAAAAAGTATTTATAAAAACACATTAAGAAAGTTCTTGTAAGTAATAGAAAAAACAGATGTAGAAAAGAAATACTACATTTTTCATGAATATTACTTCTGCCATCCTGGAAATTTACTGATCATGAAAAATTTACTTTCTTGACTAATGATTTGATGAACGAAAGATAGATTTTGAGAATTACCTCTGAATGCAGACATGCCACTACATAAGATGACATAAATACAGGCGTAATTTTAATTGTAATAAAACAGCCACAAAGTTATTTTCATATTTCCCTTTGACCTTCGAGGACCACTGATAAGGACCATCTTATCGGACCTCCAATAGAAAAGTGACACAACTGCGAATTTCTGATTTCTCAGAAATTGCAATTTTGTTTCGTAGTTCTGTAACACTCGTAATAGGTTGTACTACATATTCACCTTGTAGCGGACAGTAATTGAACTAATTCCAAATCAACTTCAGAATAGTAACAGTACCTCTTGGTAACCTCTTACCAGCTTTTAGGTGAAAAATGACGATTTCGCACTCGTGTCACTTTTCTATTGGAGGTGCGACATAATTGATGCAAATTGAAATGGCGGACTTTGTCCCAATGTGCGCCATAAGTCCTCAGCCGCCGACCATGCAAGAGGGAGCCCACCCTCCCCAGCCGACTCTCTAATTAGGCGTCGTCCGGCGGGTGAGCTTCGCGGTGCCTATCTTGTCGGGCGGCCCTGGAGATAACCGGCGCGGGGCGGGGCGGAGGGGAGGGGCAGG